GGTTGTTTTTCGCTCAGGCGGGCACTATCGATCCGGGGTTTTTTGCCCGACGGGCACTATTACCTGACAGTGTCTCTCCGCGGATGAACACTATCACGTCACGTGTTCGATTTAAGCCAATCAGAATCAAAGAAAATTTAGTGGTGAACTATAATGGCTGATAGTATACGAGTAGCTCAGCCAATCAGATTGTCTCATTTGCATTATACTAGTAGATTTTTCTAATTTAGATTATGAGCTCGAGATTTCTATAATGTGATAGTTGACGAGTCCGGGCTGAACTTCGTCATGTAATCGCAACAAAATTCCAGCCCCCTAACCGGGCTGAGATTTCAGCCCGGGCTGAAATTCGCCATGTAATCACCCCCTTAAGCCTGGTTTTCACTAGCGACGCAGGCACAAGCGCAAGCAACATACGCAGACGTAGTAACGTGTTGATTGGTCGTAAACAAAAGGCACTGATGATCAACGCGTTACTGCGTCTGCGTATGTTGCTTACATACATACATACATACTTTATTTGATGAGTAGGTTGGTAAAAAGGCAGCCAAAGGGCTGATGTGGACCTACTATACTAAAAATTAGGAATTACCTTTGTAAATATACAAATATACAAGTCGGAATTTACTAATATTAATATAAAAAGAAAAGAAATTGACATATATCATCAAAATAATAAATTTAAATTTAAAAATATATAAAATCATCCTAGCTTGCGCTTGTGCTTGCGTCGCTAGTGAAAACCAGGATTTAGAGAGGTGTCCGGCTTATAGAGAGTTTAGATGCAGTAAAATGACTGAAAAACGGCTCGCATGGACCGTTTTATAGAGGTATCCGTTAACCCTATTCTGCCTGGGGGGGGGGGGGGGGGCAGAAAGTGCCCGCGATGACTTCAAGTTTATCGTACTTAAAGCGCATTCAAGCAATCATAGCCAAACTTTATGACTTTTCCTAACAATTATCTGGGAACATTTTGGTGTGTCAATATTTTGATCACGTGACTTGATGTTTCCATGGCAACCAAGTTTTTACAGGCCGTTTTAGCCAAATTTGGTATTTTCAGCTTAATTTTCAGTTTTCATGAGATTTCCGCTTTCTTCGAATAGTTTCCTCCAAAATCTTTGCAATTGTTGCATCCTTATATTGTTTTCGATGTTTTCAAATCAAATTTGGTGATTTTCTGACATTTCTGTACAATTTAAAAATCCAAGATGGCGGATCCAAGATGGCGGACATTTTTAAAGTATGACGTTATTTTGGCGTGATATGATATCACAATTGATTCGTGATTGTCACTAAAATAAACATGTTTGAATGCTTTATACACCACATAAGTTTCATTTTTATAGCACAAATAACTTTCGAGATACAGATCGTTTTACCCAAATGTGTTGTTTTTTTAGCTTAATTTTCAGTTTTCATAACATTTTTACTTTTTACGATGAAATATTTACAAAATCTTTGCCGTTTTAGCATATTTATATTTTTCTTTATTTTTTCAAAACAAATTTGGAGATTTTCTGACATTTCTGAACAATTTAGAAATCCAAGATTTAGGATCCAAGATGGCGGATTTTTTTAACGTATAGCGTCATTATGACGTCATAATTGACACGTGACTGCCACTAAAATAAAGATTTTCGGATGCTTTACACACCATGTAAGTTTCATTTTCATAGCGTCAATACTTTTCGAGATACATAGGGAGGGGGGGGGGGGGGGGGGGGGGAACTCCCCCCAGGCTCAGGAACGAAAAAAAAGCCCAGGCAGAATAGGGTTAAGAGAGAGTTGACTGTAGAAGCTTCGTTCAGTTGAGTGGTCATGGCAGAACACAAAATTTACAGTTAGCAACGCTAAAATGATAAATTACAAAAATTCAATTCACCTTTGGTGTAAATTGGCCCTGTCCTGTGTAGTATTGTACGCGCACTTGATGGCCCCAATACACCAGTCTGTATTTTGTTACCCATCTGTCTTTACCTATTCGTCCTTGCGTTGCTACACCAGTAACTCTAGTGAACTCATTATCCAGACGAATCATGATCCATTGATGACCATCCTGTTTCTTTGGAATCCAAGCTTCTTTTCTATGACGTGATTCTTTTAAGTGCAGTCTGGCACTATGGGCACTGTACTTGCGATTATATACAGAGGATGAACTTAGCTGTCTGTCAGTAATTTGACCATTCTCCATACCGAGAGGGATATCACATCCTAAAAGGTTTGTGGAATCGAGACAAATATTATTAGTAAAAATCTACTAGTATACTAATGCAAATGAGACGATCTGATTGGCTGAGCTACTCGTATACTATCAGCCATTAGTGTGCAGTGGCTGGAGGTCGTCTACAAAAGTGCGGTTTCTTCTCGTTTCTCCGAAGTTTTGTACAATATATATACAATGCAGGCAGTGTGGCCGAGTGGTTCAGGACGCTAGTCCTGTAATCCGGAAGTCCCAGGTTCAAGCCCTCCATCCTGCCACTAGCTGACTTTGTTGTCGGTAGTCCCGAGTTCAACTCCCTCGGCCAGGAGCGTTTCACGAAGTAATTCACAAGAGTTTCACGAAGAGAAAAAAAATCATGTTTCATATTTCACTTTTCATGCCAAAAATGTATCAAATCTCGGCTCACGGTAATATACCACGACTAAGCTTCTGAGCACTTCTGCGGAGCACCCATCCCCATCCGTCTGCACCCCAATCCCCAACCGCCAATCCCCATCCACATCCCCCACACCCCATGCCTGACCCCACCAATCCCCATCCCCCACCCCACCCCACCAAGCCCTATCCCCACCGCCCATATCCACCACACCCCCATCCTCCATCCTCCACCCTCCATCCCCCACACCCGCCTACTAGTGAACACGCAAACGAACACACAAACAAACTCTGTTATACCTTCCAGCGTGTACGTGCTACAGTCATCACCAGTGTATTCTGAAGGACAAGTGCATGTGAAACTTCCCGAGTTAGCGTTGCAGGTACCGCCGTTCTGACAGGGATTAGATGAACATGGATCTGTAAAAGTTGGAGATAATCTAAATTATAATAACCCAGCTACGGTCATCATGATTGTCGTTCTCACAACAAGAAAATGATGGAACAATGTTTATAACAACAACAACAACAACAACAACAACATCAATAGCAACATTTATTATGACTATTATTTAAGCCTACAACCCAAGAGAGAGGTATTGGGAAGGTAAGCGAGTTTGTTCCTCTCCTCCCTCTCCTAAGGTTTCTAGCAACCTTAATTCTCGCACTGGATTGTATGGAGTCTCTAACATTGATAGGAGGAGAGGGGGGGCCTCTCAAACAGTTTGTTTTTGGTTTTAACTCAGTTGAAGTCAAAACGCATAGTACTGTAGCTTGCTTGAATACTCATATAGGGATAGACTAGTCTTATAGACAGATGAGAGATGTATTCCAAGGCTACCAACCAACCTACCAACCCAACCTGGCTGTATAATCGCAGGCTAGACTAGCTGTAGTCAGGCAGTTATATTTAAAGTTAAACAAATTAATTTACGGTCCTAGCAAATATAGCATAAAGTGAATAAATAAATAAATCGGGATTACAATTTATCATACCTTGTTAATTGCGCCTTAATTCGAAGAATAAGTCGATCTAAGATATCATTATTTAAAGCCCTTTAACGGGCAAATATCTGTGGCAAGGAGGAATAGGTCTACAGGGGTTAGTTACGTCATTTTGAAAACATCTATCATTGAAACCTAGCATAACCAACCGTATTTGTGACATTTGTGTCGAAGCAAAGACCAAATCCCGAAACCCAATTTGTTTTTAATTAAAAGTCCATTACCTGGTAGACTGCAAAACAGTCTCTCTTTTTCTCGAGACGCGCGAATTGAGAGGCGCGAAGCGCCGATAATCCACGCGTCTCTCCCCAATCCCACTCGTAATTTCACGCTCGTTCCAGATCCTTCGGCCGCGTTCAGCCCGACACTCTCGCGCGAAAATACGGACTGTTTTGCAGTCTAATTACCTGGAGGCGGGCTGCACGTGTAACCTCCTGTTGCGTTTGTGTTGCAGATATCTCCATTCGTACAAGGTTTGTAAAAACAAGCAACTGTAGAATGATAGCAACAGAGAATAAAACAAGTGATCGTATGGAACCCTGGAGGAGAAGTGGCATCATCTCAGACGTACACCGGCGCTTAAGGGACACTGTCCCGGCGTATTTGCTCAAAACTGTTATAAGTGCATGAAATGGTCCCTAAATCTATGAAATAAGAACTTAATAAACTCTAACTAAATGATAAAAAGCAATTTCTTCAAGAAATTCCATACTGCAACAACATTTTTGCAAAATTTCATAGATTTCTGAGCCAAATTTGAAACTTTGAAAAACTGACATCCTGACGTTTTTTTCAAAAATCCATATTGCAATCCATTTCCATCCTCGCTGTCGTTTGTCATCCTCACTTCCTAATGGGTTCCTGTCATTTGTCGAGTGATATTCTACTGAATTGAACCATTATTGATCAACTTCCTATGATCTAGATATGTTTCCGACCTTCCCAAAATCATGCTAAAATCAGGACAGTGTCCCTTTAACTCCACTTTCCATGGCATGAAGCAACCAAGAGTATCGCCACTCCCCTGGGTGGGATGCTAGCCGGGGGGGGGGGGGGGAGGAGGGAGGGGGGACTCCCATATTAAAGTGACGGGGGTGATCATCGGAAATTTTGACGAAATCTCGCTTTGTGGGTGTGGCTCGAATTCATTTTGACCCCTAGAGGTACCAATAAATTTATTCTAAGACAAAACTAGCACCTGTCATATTTTTTCCGGATAATACCCTAAAAGGTACCGGAGTAACTCCAACGGTAGTCATTTTTTTTAGTCCAACGCAAGTAACCCGCCAGCATTTTTGTCAGGTTGCCATGACAATTCGCCGGTATCCATTTATACTCCTGCGCGGAGAGAGGCATTGTGAGAGTAAAGAGTGTCTTGCCCAAGAACACAACACAATGACCCCGGCCAGGGTTCGAACCGAGACCGCTCGATCCAGAGTCCAACGCACTAACCATTAGGCCACCGCGCCTCCCACGAAAGACAAAAAGATAAGTGCGGGACGCACAAAATAGACGGAATTATACCCTATAAGCTCTCAACTAAACATATCAACCTCTCATTGCTCTCATTCACTGCTGTTTTAATCAAGGTAGAAAAATCATCAGGGACACGAGTAAGATGGCCGACCTTGTCGGTTTTTTGACCTGAGACCCCTCCATTGTCTGGAACAATGAAGTCCGTGTGTGGTCTGGAATCTAGTGTCTAGTACCAAGATAAATACGGTCAATTGCCCGTTCCGAAGTTCAAATGGAGACTGGGGACGATTTTTTAAATTTTGATTGAATTAAAAAATTGGAGCCCATCACAAGAAAGATCACATTAAAATTAGTCAGTTTACCAAGTTTGGGGTTGTTTCGTTGGATTTCAACCATGTAGAAGGCTTTCAAAAATTAGAAAAATTAGAAACTTTGTATGGATTTGGGCGACGCCATCTCTGAATTAGAGACGTTTGCAATAATTTGGACGACCTTTGACAGCTCACAGCCTGGTTTAATAATATATACTATGCAATGTAACGTAACCAAACTTGATGAACTTACTAATTTGTATGCAATCTTTCTGGTGATGGGATTAAATTTTTAATATGACGTAATTTGAACAATAGGTAAACTAGTGCCCAGTCCCTTTTTGAACTTCGGAACGGGCAATGCTTATAGGAGCTTGAGTCACGGTTTACGAATCTTGAACAATTAGCCTAAAATTTTATTTTAAGATCGCTATTCGCAATCCGTCTTAATCTTCTCCATCCTTAACCATCCTTGTTCCTGTTTGGTTTCTTATTACCTCTTTAGTGTTTCTCTACCTTAGAAAACTATTATTTTGAGGTTTCCTTCAATTTGAAGGTAATTTTGTACATCATAAAAAATGACTTTATATATCGTCACGTGACATAGCCTTTAAATATGCAAAGAGTGATTAACAAGAGGAATATTTTCTATAGTTACCATGACAACCATAGATCTCTACTCTCATTGCTATGCTGCCAGACCATTCTACTGGACGAAAACGGAGTGTATCTGTGCCAATTGTTCGGTTCAGCTTATGGTAAACAGGAGTGGTCTGGTCTGTATTTCCAATAAACATCTAAATTGGAAAAATGACACGTTAGTTAGGTATAAGTCAAACTCCCCGGGGGGTACTCCCTTATATAAGCTATATTGGTATGTGCGGCGCCAAAGGGTATGATTTTTGAGCAGTTTCGGTCTGAAAACGGGTATAGATTTTGACCATTTTGGTCTGAAATAGGGTATATTTTGCCTACTGGTCTGAAATAGGGTATATATTTTTGCCAATTTGACTTTAAAATGGGGAAATTTTCCCCGAAATTTTAAGGGTCAGGTCTGAAATAAGGTAGGGAAAATCACATATTTTGGTCTGAAATAGTGTAAGGGTTTCAAGAAGCGTGCCGCACGCCCCCACCCAAATTTTTGGGGAGTACTCCCCCCCCCCCCCCCCCCCGGGTCAAACTCCCGATCATTATCCCAACAAACTAAACTACATCTAGTTATTATTTTGAAAACTAGAGAGGACTTAATCTGGTTGATTAATTAACAATAGAAAAGTTAAGATTAATTAAAGGTTTCATGAGCAGTAAAATGACTCTGCACGTGCATTATACACTCGGTACATTTCTTATACACCTATTTCAATTAACGTTGTCGGATAGAAATGTTTTTAAAAGCCCGCAAAGCCCGCAAGACAAGACCGAAAGGTAGCATGGGTAAAAGTAGAAAGCTGCTGCACGCACCGAATACTAATGAGATGTAACATGACAAACATTATTTATAACGTTTCCTTTTTGTTTTTAAACCTGTAGAAGTAAGCTACTTTTAGCCAAACTAAATTTTAGCAGAATCAGCTAGTGAAAAAACATGGAAAAACAAATTATATAATTCGGGGCAAACCAAATATATCACGTGCGAAATAAAACGTGTAGATTTATTTTCCAGCGATATGCAAATTCTAATGAATACCCAGACTACCATTTGGTCTTGTCTTGTAGGCTTTACGCTTTTATTTAATTTTTATCCGACAACGTTAATTGAAATAGGTGTATAAGCCATCCTCTACAAAACAACAGCGTGAAATGCCCAAATTCTGGGTTTTCGGAGAAACATTCTCTTTGGATTTGAACGCTTTCTTTACACAGTCTTTACATATTCAGCTGAGGATAGTTCTGACATTGACTCGTCCCCAGTCACTCTCTCCAATGCGGTTACGCAGAAGTCCTGCCTCGTCCCCAGGTGTCGCTCCTTGTTTGAGCGCGGTGCGCGTGGGGTTGTGGGACTCAAGCCCCGCGCTCCCTGTTTTCCCGCTCCCTTTCCCGCTCGCAACGGCGCCTGGGGACGAGGCAGACAGACGTCCGTTTTCCGCATGAAGCAAGCCGGGAAATACGAGACGTCTGCACGCAGGCTGATAGAAAAACTGAATGGAACTAGGGTTTCGCGAGATTCTGAATTGAAATATAAATTCAATTTTTAATCGACGCTGTTCGTGGAAGGCGGAGAGAAGATGAATTGTTAATTCGCGCAAAATAAATGAAAGTATTACTCACCATTGGCAAGGTTTGTCCTGGTTCCTTGTACACATAGTTAGCATTATTAAACCAGTATTTCAACTTGTATTTGGTGACCCATTGGTTTGCATCCGGTCTTCCTTGCGTTGCTATACCTGTGATTCTGTACTTTTGATCAAAAGTAATCTTGAGAAATTGAAAATCATCGATGGTTCCAGCTTCCCAAGCTTTATTCCCGTTGAGTCTGCCTTGACTGGGGCCGCTGTCGGCATTGTATTGCGAAGTTGCAGTAATTTGTCCGTCAGTGATTGCACCGCTTTCCATTCCCATGGCAACAGAGCCAGGGCAATCTAAAAAGTTGATGAAATCATACAAACGAACATATCTGTCTTATTATTAGACAATTATTGATGAGGCCGTAGGCCGAATCAACTATCACATCATAGAAATTGAGAGCGAATAATCTAATTGTTTTAGAAAAATCACAACAATTGTCTAGTATTAACTCCAAATTCTCCTCCAAAACTACGGAGAAAACGGAAGAATCCGCAATTTTGTAGACGACTTCTAGCCACTGCACACCAATATAACAATAGAGTGTTTCTGTCGAGAAACTATCGGCTGATAGTTGCCCGCGGAAATTTTATGTTCTAAAAAACAAATATTAGCCCGAGAACGAAGTTCGAGGGCTAATATGCTAGTTTTTTTAGAACATAAAATTTCCAAGGGCAACTATCAGACCGATAGTTCCGAGACAAAAACACTCTATTGTCGTTATTGTTCACCACTAAATTTTCCGTGCGGCGGCCTAAAACTGAAAACCTCATGAATTTATTTATTTCGATTTCTAACACACTTGGAGCTTCAAAAATAGTTTTGCATTTCAACTTTTGTCTCGTAAATACGTACAAAACTTTAGGTTAAACTTCGGTATTACTTTTTCAAAAGTTATAAATCGACTGAGTGATTGGGTGTTAGTAATCCGAGTAACGGCGTGACGCGTAACGGAGTAACGGCGTAACGAGAATCGGCGTAACGACAATTTTTTGTCGAATTTTTTTTTTCAATCATTTTTTTATTTTTTTAGAATCGGCGTAACGACAATTTTTTAACAATTTATTTTTTATTTTTTAAATTTTCCAATTATTATAAAAGCGTGATGTAGACAAATTGATACTCACGCACCTTCAAATAAATACTGTAGAAAAATACGCGATATTCTGCAACTGTTGGTCAATGGATGGATACAAATGCACAGTGACTCTCACCCTGCTCGGTCACCCGCCATCTTGGAGATCAGCGCCTTATCAGCTTCTGTCGATAAATTGGCTAATTTTCAACCAACCCCGTTACCAGGGTCTCTCTTCTTCCCGCCAAAAGCGATTGATTCAATCGCTTTTGGCGGGAAGAAGAGAGACCCTGGGAACGAGGTTGATTTTCAACGTACACAGGATAACATCGGAAGCTAACACTATGTCCTTAGAGCTCAAGTAGGCAAAAGGTGTGGTGAACGAAACTGAATTCCAGTCGTATTCGATGTGAGGCGAGTACCAAGAAATATCCGTGCTTGTGCTTCGTGTATTCTTGTACTAAGGTATGTAATACAGGCTGTAAATTCTATGTAGGTGACTTGTGACCACTTGTGTCACTTGTATAGCCACTTGTGTTGCTATAGTTTTGACGTGTCAGTTTTAGGGAAGAAATATTAGTATTTATTTGAAGGTGCCCACTGCTGGCGTGAGTATCAATTTGTCTACATCACGCTTTTATAATAATTGGAAAATTTAAAAAATAAAAAAAAAATTGTTAAAAAATTGTCGTTACGCCGATTCTAAAAAATAAAAAAAATGATTGAAAAAAAATTGGACAAAAAATTGTCGTTACGCCGATTCTCGTTACGCCGTTACGCCGTTACGCGTTACGCCGTTACTCGGATTACTAACACCCCTGAGTGATTTTCAGTTCCATCTAAATGAAGTATGATTTGTATGAAAAACGGCGGCAAAACCTGGCGCGGGTTCCGCCGGTCAGTTGAATGAAACTGAAGCAGGACAAAAAGTTTTCTTCGGATTATTTCTTCGCTCAATCTCTTCTAATGTTTCATATATTCTGGAAAATTGTGCAAATGATTTAGCACAAAATGGGAAGATCTGAAATAATTGTGGAGCTGAACATTATATTCATTTTTCAAGTCAAACGGACAACTGAACGGAGTCGAAGGTTTCACTGCGGGCAAACGCTTGACGAACTGCCGTCTTTAAGCTTCGTAACCGATATTTATTGTGCTGCTTCAAGCTGGAATTGACAAACCTCTTGGAAATACAAGGTAACAATACCGAATAGGCTAAGCTTAAACTTGTGGTGTAAACAGGCTGTCATTTTTTGGACGAATTTGTGTCGGTTTACCGATCTTTCCGTAAATTGTTTCGTGCTCTTTCATTCGCATTTGTTGT